GGTTTTAAGGCTCTATCTCTCATAGTTCCCGAGATAATCGCGAAAAACGAAATGGCAAAAAGAAATTAAATTAATTGATGTCTACAAGGCTGTAGGAAGGAAAAAAACGCATTTCTGAGCCGTCCATCTCCCTGTAGGGAATCGAAATTTTCTCAGGAATCGAATGGAATAGGTTTTAAGGCTATATCTATCATAGTTTCCGAGATAATCGCGAAAAACGAAATTGCCAAAAAAAATTAATTTAATTCATCTTGTATAGGGTGTAGGAAGTGGAAAAACGCAATTCTGAGCCGTCCATCTGCCTATACGGAACCCAAATTTCCTCAGGAATCGAATGGAATGGGTTTTAAGGCTCTATCTTTCATAGTTCCCGAGATAATCGCGAAAAACGAAATGGCAAAAAGAAATTAAATTAATTGATGTTTACAAGGCTGTAGGAAGGAAAAAAACGCAATTCTGAGCCGTCCATCTCCCTATAGGGAACCGAAATTTTCTCAGGAATTGAATGGAATAGTTTTTAAGGCTCTGTCTCTCATAGTTCCCGAGATAATCGCAAAAAACAAAATGGCCAAAAAAAATTAATTTAATAGGCTATAGGAAGAGGCAAAACGCAATTCTGAGCCGTCCATCACGCTACAGGGAACCCAATTTTTGGCAAAAAGAAATTAAATTAATTGATGTCTACAAGACTGTAGGAAGGAAAAAAACGCATTTCTGAGCCGTTTACTATTTCCAACCAGAATCACGGGAGAGTGTGAACAGGAGTAGATGTGGCAACGACGGCTCGGTCAGCTGTCACTTGGCGGGACCTCTCACCCGTCACATTATCCTACAGTGTTGCTACTAATTTTTCCAAGCTAGTCAATTGAAAATCTATTTATTCATACTTTTATTGAAAACAATTAATCATGAAATAATTCTTATGCTTATGTCCTTTATAAATTATTTTAATAATTTAAACATCAAAAAAATTATTTTTAGCATTTTTTTTTTTCAAAAGCACTCAACGAGTTCGGTCGTAGGGGTAGAGCTACTTTAACGACCGCGACCACCGGTGTCGGTATATACAAATGTTTTTTTCGTCAGAAGGCCCGGTAAACCGCCATTCTAACCTCGTTTCGCTCTGACGGAAAATTACATTCATCACACGGTCCAAAAATATTTTCTGACGAACGTGGCTCTATTCGTCAGAAAATACTTTGTGGACCTTGTGATGAAAATAACTATTGATGCTGGTTTTTAAAATGTGTATATGTGTATATGATGACTGTTTTTATTAAATAAAAGCTTTGGTTAAAAGAATAAAAAGAAATCTAGAATATTTTCTTGTATCAAGTAAACCTTTTTCTTCAAAATTAGTTTTTCTCGTGGTGCAAACTAGAATGAAGTCCTGTTAATTGCACAATTCCGTTCTTGAAGTCTGTGGAGAGGTCAATATCCATCAGATACTCACAATCAGAATAATATAAAATGAAGGAAGTCGTCGAGACAGTGAAAACCACTGCAACCGCATAATTACGACCTCTTAAGTCATATCTACTATTAGAAATGAAATCATCTGTAATCAGATGAAGTGAAATTATGAAATTCGCCGGGAAGTGGTGCACCGACATATAAGTTTCTGTGGACCTCCTACTACATAGCTGAATATTTAAGCCCTCGTAAAGTTCCTCCCTCGAACTTTTTGAGATGAAGAATATGATTTTTTAAAAATAATACATCTGTAGATCGCATTGTTTCTACAGAAGGAAGATTTTATCATATATTTTGAGAAAGTCGATTATTTTTTAGTCCAAAAAAATTGCAGGCGTCTGTATCTTCGAATCAGCTATAATTTTTTCCGGATGATCAATTAAAAACATATGATTGGCTGACTTCCCCCCCCCCCCTTCCCCTTCCCCCACCACCAGAAGGGAAAGTATATAAGGACTGCCCCCACACATCGGAGCTCAGAATCGGAGCTGATAGCCCTGAAGATGCAGACTGCAATGTTTGCGAAACGTCGGCGCAATGCTGAAACTCAACGCGGCATCCATCCGGAAGCCAACCAAGTCATTAATAATGGCCGCGAAAGCCTCAAAACTAAGATGTCTACAATTTT